AAACCGTAGGCAGAGAGAGAGAAGTATTTATTTTTTTTTTGGCGGGGTGCCGACGAACCCCGACCGGTAGGTGCCGACCAGTCAGGGGTCGCCGACGGTTGGCGTGTGCAACACTGGGGTCCGGACATTTCCGGACCTGCTTACCCGTCCGGACCGCCTGGAACCGCACATGTCCGGAGGAAGTCGCCAGCTCAACTGGTGGAATGCCTTCAAAACTGGTTCACTGGAGTAAGATGTAATGAAGCCTGCAGATTCTCAGTGGACTGTACATTGGGACGAGGGCGAGGCTCGGGACTTGCCTCGGTCGGGTCGCGTCTTTGGTTAGATTCGTAATTTTGTTTGACTGAGGGCTAACCGCGACAGCTGACTGTGAGGAATTTCCTCACAGTGAGCTGTCGTGGTTAGCCCTCAGTCAAACAAAATTACGAATCTAACCTAAGATGCAACCCGACCGAGGCGAGACCCGAGCCTCGCCCTTCCCTCACAGTCAGCTGTCGCGGTTAGCCCTCAGTCAAACAAACTTACGAATCTAAGACGCGGCCCGATCGAGGCAAGTCCCGAACCTCGCCCTCGGCCCAATGTACAGTCCACTGAGAATCTGCAGGCTTCATTACATACTTACCCCCCCCCCGGGGAGAGCGGACCTCCACGCCCATACTTCATTTCCTTGTAATGAACCAGCAGACGAAGTGGGTGTAGAGTTAGAGCTCTTGCCTGAAGAGGAGAACCCGAGAGACTCGCGAGGTTACCTCCTCCTGACCTCGCTGTTTACAGCAGTGATCAGGGGCATAGGTTACCCCGCAAGTCTCTCGGGTTCTCCTCTTCAGGCAAAAGCTCTAACTCTACACCCACTTCGTCTGCCGGTTCATTACCAGGAAGTGAAGTATGGGCGCGGAGGTCCGCTCTCCCCGGGGGGGTAAGTATGTAATGAAGCCTGCAGATTCTCAGTGGACTGTACATTGGGCCGAGGGCGAGGCTCGGGACTTGCCTCGGTCGTAATTTTGTTTGACTGAGGGCTAACCGCGACAGCTGACTGTGAGGAAATTCGTGAGGGACGTATCTGCAAATTTGGGAAAATATAGGCCGGTACTAACTGGAATTTCCTACAGCTACCCTAACTGCGATTAGCAGGCCCGGACTACCCCTAGGACAGACAGGCCCTACAGGCCTATGCTGATGGCAGTTGGTACCGAGTACATCGCTGCTGTGCAACACGTGAACTGGAAGTGGTGACGGCTCAGCATTGAGGGAGACAGACATAGCCAGTCCTTCGGAGCACCGGCCATAGCTGGGACCTGCACTGTACTCTGTCAGCACACGGGGCTGTACAGAGGTCTGGGCTATTCGAGGTCGGCTAGAGGCGAGAGAAGTTGGCGCCCTGCTGGACCCTCCTCCGGAGTAGGGCTACAGGGTTATGGTGTTGCAGCCATAGCTGCAGCTTCTTCCTCAAAGGTCATCTTGTCAGGAGTGGTGGCGCTGCTGCAGACTTCCAGCCGGGAAGTCTTCCGATACTTCGTCATCATCAGATACTGTGGTGCTGGTCTTCTTCTTCATCCTCTGAGTGGCGCTTGGCCTCAGAGGCCTGTTTCAGGATGGTGCTTCCCTCTGGAGGCTGTATGTGGGTGGCGCTTGATGTTTCAGGGGCTCAGGGGTGGTAATAGCGGTTCATCAGGGTTGGGGAGTGAAGCCCTGCACATTTCTGAGCAGCGTATCATAGTTCTGAAGTTATTCTGACAATTCGAGACTTTGAGTTTAATAAACAGTGTTGATACTGGGTTCAGACTATCATCGTTTCATTGTTTCTTGGATGTGATCTACTCTGCTTTCCTTTATGACTGGTTGTGAGGATTAAGTGGAGTGAATTGCACTTTCAGTGTACCCTGTCATATCGCATGGTCAAGTCTTCCACTGTGTTTATCTCTCCCTATGCGGTGCGATACTCCTATCCTCTCCCCTTCCTTCTGTGTATGCATGGGCATACCTGGGAGTCTATGTGAGTGAGTGTTGGTCTTCAGACAACAGAACCAGAATCTCGGTGGGGAGGTGGTGGGGAGGTGCTTCGGCTGGCTCGGTGGGGAGGTGGTGGGTAGGTGCTTCGGCCGCCTCGGTGGGGAGGTGCTTCGGCCGGCTCGGTTGGGGGGTGGTTGGGAGGTGC